CTGCTATGAACACACTGGTAACTGTTGTGTTTATCTTGCTGAATTGCTCATGTGACAAATATTAATGCCTTGGGATGTGACCAGAACTTGAAACATCTGTGCTGAGTGTGGAAGTGCTTTTTACCTTCAAGAATGCCAAATCAAATTCCTTTTTTCTGCCAGCAGAATGGGAACTGTTCTTTAATTTTTGCTGTACCTGGTGATCTGCACTGGGGAACCATCTCCCTTAAAATTCAGCATCACTTCATTCTTAGTTGCTTATTGGCAGCCTAATCAATAGATTCTTAATGATGGTAAAAGCTGTTCTGAAGGGTATGTGCCAGTAATATACTTTAGAGTTGCAGAGTTGCTCTTTTGCCTCCTGCAGCCCTTTGATTTGCTTACAGAGATGTATGAAATCAGCTGGAAGGATGGTAGGGGAATATTCAAGGCTGAGAAGGTGTCTCATTTCTTAGCCCAGATTTTTCTTCTCATCAAATCAAATTGCCAGCTTTTTATGGAGATACCTCATATGTTTATTACTGCTTCTAACTGCAGCAGAGAAGGACCACTCACTTATCTGGGGGCTAGAAGTGACATTTAAGCTGTTGCCTTGACTAACAGAGCCTGGAACGAAACCATAACCTGTGAGTGAAAGGGTTATTGGGGTTTTTCTTTCTATTCTTCCCTGAGCTGTAGTGCTGGCACTACTCTGGACACCAGCTTGCTAGGATGCTGTTGATGTTTGGGAAAGGAGATAGAAGTTCTGTAACTTTTCTCCATCTAAAGGCGTGTAACTTTTCTCCATCCATGTGCTTAGGAGAAAGGCTCACATAAAGGTGGAGGTTCTTGTAAGGAGTTTAAAAAGCCTTAAGCACTCCCTTTCTTCCCTCCCTCCCTGCTATTTTCTCTCCTGAAATGCAGGAATACAAAGGCAGCTGACTGTCAGTTCACCGTGGCTCCTGGTTCGGAGTGTTGATGTGTTCTTTTGAATGTACTCGCGTGGTTTTACTTGACTCTTTTCACAAAAAACTTTTCTTGGAAGAAAATTGCTGAAGAATGTGCTGATTCTGAAACCATAACCCTAAATTACCCATTTCAGAGGGATGACATATCAGAGCTACAGACTTTTGTGCTATAGCCACTTGCAGCTACAAGAGTAAATGACAACTCAGCAGCTTTCTGCAGGCCAGTGAAGGTTTAGAAGATACTGTATTTGTGTACACACTTTTGAGTACAAACTATCTTGACTTGTGCATTAAAAATCACCCTTGGTAGAGAGAAGAGAAGCAAGAAACAGAATTTTTTGTACATTAGACATGGTTTGTTAGCAGGGTTGTGCAGGAACATGAGACTGGCAAATGATGCTGCTGCAGGTGAAGACTGATGTCTTCACTTGGTGTTTTAGACTGATGTCTGATCTTTTATATAAAGAAATAGGGTAGATCAGCTGTAGAATGGGAAATGCCACAGACACTGCTACTGAGCTGGCTTTGGCAGGTGATGTAGTTTGGGACACCTCATCCAGTGGGTAATAGATACGTATTCTTAACCTCATAGTCTTTTAAGGATTTATGGTGATCTCTGAGAGAATGAAGGTGAGACTAAAAATAAGGTGAAAAAATAGTAAAATATTTTGACGTATCTTTCTGAAAGTTGCCCAGAGAAGGCTGTGATCCAGGAATTCCCCCTGCAAGAGGAAATTCTGCGGCATTTCTGCTTCAGAAGTGCATTTTAGGCATCTAGTAATGAGAAAAAGGAGAACAGGATGATGACACTAATTTCAGTGGAGTGCTCTGAGGCACTGCCTTCTAAATTGAAGCATGTTTGAAGCATCTAAATTGAAGCATAGTTTATGTACTGAAGATGCCGTAGAATGTTGGGACAATGATGCTTCATTCTTTTCTTCATTATACTTCTTACCCCATGTCTATTTTGTGGCTCTTGACTAAGGAGAGATAAAGAAAGATGTGCTTGATGGTAGGAAAATTGAAACCAAAAGGGAAGTGTATTACCTAGAGCAGACAAATACTGAATTCATAGAGTCATAGAATAGTTAGGGTTGGAAAGGACCTTAAGATCATCCAGTTCCAACCCCCCTGCCATGAGCAGGGACACCTCACACTAAACCATGTCAGCCAAGGCTTCGTCCAGCCTGGCCTTGAACACTGCCAGGGATGGAGCATTCACAGCGTCCCTGGGCAGCCCATTCCAGTGCCTCACCACCCTTACAGGAAAGAATTTCCTCCTTATAGTCAATCTAAACTTCTCCTGTTTCAGTTTTAACCCATTACTTAAATTCCTGGTGGTTTGTAGATAACGATGGTAGGCATGTTCTTGGGGGCAACCCTTTCTTTATATTTTGCTCTATATTTTCTCCATTTTACCTACACGCATTGAGGTACTAACTGTAACTCACAGGAAAGATGTGTTGTACTGAAAGGCAAGTCTAAGCCAGGTAATAATTTTTTTATGGTGAAAGAGGTTCTAAATTTCAGTGGGCTTCTCTATTGTCACCAAAACTCTTTGGCAAAACCAGAACCAACCCACAAGCTCTATCTGGTGACTTCAGTAGAATTTACAGAAAACAATGGAAAGATCCAACCCAAACGTTTTTAACGTTTTGTTCATGTGTCTGATTTGGAAAATAGGGGACAAGGGATTTCATGGGAGTAGAGATGAGGAGGAATTAAAAGAGTACATCTAATGCATCAGAAGCCTTTAAATTCAGAAGATTCTGGTAGTAAGTAACAGAAACTGGAGAAGCCACAGAAGGAATTGTCAGTCCCTACTGAGAGCTGAGGCCCCACATCATGACAAGGAGTCGGTCAAGTGGGTTTTTCTCAGAGCTTTAATCAAGGTTGCTGTGGTCACATACGTGTAACAAGGAAGATGTTGCGCAGCAGCCTCCTCTTCTGGTGATGTCTGGAAAGGCCGACAGAGCCTCTTCACATCCATGTCTCACAAATGCACTGCGCACCAGGGAGAGGAAGAATAAACTGCTTACATCCAGCCACTTCACTGTAGTGTTTTCTTATGCCTGATCAGGATGTTTGCCCAGGGGGTTTCTCAGTGCTTACATGTGGTTATCATGTCATTTAGAGCATGACGGTAACCATGTGTACACTTAGATGTGCTTCTCCTCTGAGCATCTCCAAGGAACAAGGAAAGATGTAATTGCAGAGCGTTGCTCCTGCTGGTGCAGGCTCAGGGGCCGACCATATGCCTTGCTCAGTGAGTCAGTAGTCAATGATTTTGGCTGCTGAGCTTAATGCAGTGATCAGAAAATGTCTGCCAAAGTGAAGTTTCAAGAAATGTTTGTTTTCTTCCCAGATCTAGATATGCTTCTAGTTTGGTTTGACACCTCTAAGTACTTCTCTAGCTGTAGCTGGGAAGTTGGTGGGCAGCTGTGGCAGATGTAGTAACACAAGGCAGTGTTCTCTGTGCTCTAGCTGTGTGTGTGGGTTTGTTTGCTTAACCACCGGGTGAGCATGGCATGGCTCTGAGTGTAGGTCCTGCCATTAAGCCTGATCCTTCATGCTTTGAAAGTAGGAAAGTAAGATGCTAATAGAGTTCTCTTCTGCATTGTAGGATGAAGAAAAAAAAAAAAGACTTAATAAAAGTTAGACCCAAGTTCACAATATTTTATTGTGTCTACAACTGCTCATCTGTTCTGCAGGAGCGCTGTCAGAGCATTACTCATGGCAGAGAGAATATCCCTGAAGAGTTTTTCACAGTTCATGTGTCAGACAGGAATGCAAAGGATCAATTTACAGCCACAGACAAAGATCTGAAAATGTCCGGGGGGACCTGGGAGAATGCTGCTCACCCCAAATAGCTTTGCTGATCTAACTGCTTCCACTTGTCTGACTGCAGCGTGTTTTCCACCAACCCAGAGTTAATTTCTGAGTGGCAGCAGTAAAAGCATTGCATGTAGACAGCAGCAAGAGCTGGTACACGAACATTAAACATTGTGCCACCTCCTTGCAGCCTCTTCTGTTAGAAAACTAAAGGGAATTCCAGTATGTTTTTGAAAGCTCCCGAGTGCACTTCCAGGGGGAGATCTGCTGGTGCTGTGCAGCTCCATGTCCACGAGGAACTTGCTTTGTTTTGCAGATCATCCTTTAACCTGGGCTGCAGCTGTCAGAAGGAGCCAGGCAGTGAGCAGAGGGGTTGTATTTAGCAGTACTCTCTGGGTGAACTGGTCACAATGGTCTATAAGCCAAGCAAAGCACTTGGGAGTAGTTTACTGGTTCTGTTTAGCCAGTTTGCAGGTAATGGTTGTACTTCACCTTAAAGTTGGTAGATGTTCATTCATTTGCTTCTTAGTTGAATTTGTTTATTGTAGTTTAAAGTTTCCTGGTAAACTTCAGGCAAAACCAGAGGGTGCATTAATCTGTTCAGGAGACCCAGGTTTAAAATCAACCTGTCTCTTTTCATGTAATTTGCAGCAGGATCTGTAAAGTTAGGTCTTCATCTTAGATGTATGCATATGTATCCAGTAAGAGATGGCATGAGAAGTGTCACTGAGTTACCAGGAATTTTTTTGTCAGGAAGAGCACATGTGCAGTTCATCCTCTTTATGGCTCTTACAAATGTTTGTTGGTTTTAAGACTGAATAAAAGAAAAGCAAAGATTTAATTCTTACTGTGCCTTCAAGCCCAAGATGAACTAGATCCCACAAATTAAAGATACGGAAAATGTAATCAGCATTTAGGATCTAGGGATAAAAAGCAGGTGCCTTCAGCGTGAAGCCAGTGCTCAGCACACTCGGGGCTGCTGAGCTGCCTGTGCCTCTGCCTAGGAGAGAGGCATGTTTTATTTTCCCTGCTTATTCATTTTCTGAGTCATTCATCTTGTGCTACAGCTATTGAAAACTGTAACCGAGTCTGGGAAGCGCTTGGCTTTTGAGTGCTGCCTCCTGATTGGACTGGGGAATGCTGCTGCTCGGGAATAATGTGTGAATACCATCTGCTCCGAGGAGCTGGGGCTCGCCGTGAATTTTGCTTGGAGAGGCACCTTTAGCCAGGACTACAGGCAGGGAGCAAGCTTGCTTTTCCTGTTCCTTATCCAAACTTTTGGTTGTCGCTGGATTTCCTTTGTATTTCCCTGTTGAACTTTTTTTGTGCTTTGCTCAAGGGCAGAGGTGCTTCTCCTGTGGCTTCTGGGCTTGTTTGTCCTTTATTATTCTTTTTGTGCCTGCACGGGATTTCTGCTGGGGTTCAGCATGCACACCAACTGGGGGAATAAATCAGCAAGTTTTGCAGCAGTTCCCTGCAGCACAACACTTCACATGGAATGTCTGAGGTGCTCTGAGAAACTACTTCCCAAAATCTGACCTGCTCGGAAAGAGGTAAGTGCTGAGGCTTCTCCATTTCAGGGACTGACTTTCTCCTTGCACAGAGGTTTTGTTTCCTTAGGAATAGTTATGTCTCTTTTGAAACGTGCAGTTGCTTTGTATCAATCCCTGAGATCAAAGACTGTTTTGTCTCAGAATTTCTTTAATGAGCCTGAAGAAATGAGCACAGTTGGAAGAATGATTTTTCTCTTGCTCTTTTGTATAGAAATTGTTTTGTAATGGGTCTTAATACAAACTTTCTGTAGTGGAAGTGTAACTGTAATTCAAGACAGCATGTATTTTTCAGTTTGCATCTTTAGGAAGAGAACTCTTTCAACTCTGGTTTCCCTGATTATGGAATCCCTTTTCCAGCCTGTTATCTCAGACAAAACACAGCTATTTTTCAGCAGGCTGGATTTACACTCAAATGGTGCATTCCACTTCAGGAAGAGAAGATGTAGTGTGAGCCCCTTAATTCCTGCTCACTAATGACCTGCTGATGCAGACTCAGTCAGTAGAGAGAAAACTGGAGCCATTCCTCAGAACAGGCCTGACAGCAACAGGATTGATGGCCACCACTCTCCCCCATTACTGTTAGCACATACTTAACTTTCTGATGTTCCTGTTTTAAAACATAGTTATATTTCAGTTCAGTCAGGCACTTTATGTGCACAAGGCAAAGTTAGCTGAGGGAGGACATGGAATACTGATGGTTTGCAAAATCTCAGCCTTCCTTCCAGTGAGTCACAGTATTCAAATTGCTGTTGTCTGTTCCAAGGAGAAATCTGCAAAGCAGATTCCTTGGACTTTGCTGAAGGCTTCACTGTAATTTGACAAACACCTGGTTTTTTAGCTTTCGCTTGTATGTTGGTGTGTTAACTGTAACTACATAGTAAGTGTGTAAGTTGCGTGTACTTATATGTATGCTAAGAGAAATGTACAGTAGCTGTAAGTTAGGGAATGGTAGATTTATGTAACTGATACTTGAACTCACCTAAACTTTTCATATTGAATTCATTTTAAATAAGGGAATATGTGACATCTAGCATGCTGCTTACACTCAGGCCTCTGGAGCTGATGCTCTGGTGACACAGAAAAGGGCTGTTGCTGTCTGCAGCTTCACTTTTAAAAGAAGAAAGGTTAACAGTTGGGCATCTTTTCTTAGTCACTTCCATGGCAAAATGCCAGGTCAGCACAAGTGCCTCTTAATGAGAACAAAACTTACTTTGCTGATGCCTGAATGAGGAGAGCAGTGGCAAGCCAGCACAGGAATGCCTGAATGGCCCAGAGGTGCAACACCAGTGCAGCCCAGTCCACTGGCTGATGGCCACTGTACTTGCTTAGAATGTAGGGTACAGGGATTCAACTCTCACTGTGCCTGATCCAAACCAAGTGTATATCTCTCGCTTTATGTATGTCAAAAACCTCGCAGGTTCATGCATTTTCCGGTACAAATGGGCTTTCCAGTCATCATCATCATTTCTGGTGATAGAAAAAGTATTTCTTATTCATTGCTACTGATAATAACAGTAAATGGTCACTTGGGTGTTTTTTGGTGGAATTATATTGTCAGTGGTGGATTTCCCAGGTGCCTTTTTTTGATCTGTCATTGGGCCAGACATCATGAGGAATAAACTTCTGACCTTTGAACTCCAGAGGTGAAGATCACTTCCATTCCAGACATAGCAGAAGGGTTTTTAGCCGTTGGCAGTAGTAACAGATAGTGTTGCTGCAGTGGGATCAGAGCTTCCTAATCCAGTGGTATGTACACGTGCACATTTAAATCAAACACCAGCTGCCTGTAAAAGTGGGTTTATTTTTCGCCAGAGTGGACAAGCTTTTTACACCTCCTCTTCATCAAAAGTAGTCACTTGGCTCATGGTCTGACTGTGGTAGATGATTTTGCATGGGTAGAGTTTCTTGTTTAGGAACTTAACATGGAACCCTTCTGTAGGGGTTTACTGCTAAATCCCTCCAGAAAGCGCTCCACAGCTGCTGGTTAGTATTTCCTTTTAATGTGATCTGTGTGTCTGCAAAGCACTTCTTGTTTGCCTGTCTGTGACTAATATGCCAGTATGACCATCAATACTGTAATGCTGAAGTGTTTTTAACTCTCATCCAGGTATCTTCATGCCAGCTGGACATGTGTTGCTATTGCTGTGCTCTTAGAAAGGGGAGCTGACTTGAAAGTCACTTTTCCCGGGTCATGCACAGGAAGGATTTATCATTGTATTGTGATTGCATTGGATATTCTGTGTTCCCAGGTAGCTCCTCAGCCATTCTGCTTACTCCACAGTCTTCTTCCTAACCCATTTCCCTTTCTTCCTCTTCTCTTCTTCCCTGCCTGCCCCCCTGCCCCCCCCCCCCCCCCCAAAATGAAAGACTAAATAGCTGGAGGACAGTTGTCACTTGCTGTGGAGAGCATTATCCCATTATCCACCTGCCATGTCTGTAGGCATCTGGAAAATGTCAGTGCTGGGATTTTTCCAGCAGACCAGAGTATTTGTTTCCTTGAAGATGAATTATTGTCATTTTCACTACAGGAAAGAGAACTCTCTTGGTATGGTGGCAACTCTGACCGTGCAACCACACTGTTGTGCATTTACAGCTGAATTTCAGGAATCCACATGGATTTTTCTTCTCCTCTTGCCTGACTCAGTTGCCAGACTTCTTCTGGCAGTTCCATCTCACTTAATTCACAAAGAACGTGGCTCCCTCTGCCACACTTGCTGCCTGGAGCCTACATAAGTATATTTGTAGTGAACTTCAGCTTAAGACAAATGTGACCTACCTAGAATACAGGTTTCCAGACAAGAACCAGAGTGATGCAGTACTGCCATTAACATTAAAGTACTTTACATGCATCTGTGCCAGCTATTTCTGTTGCCTTTTATATAATCTAATAATGCTTTGCCAAGGAGTAAAATGTAATAGGAACTATTTTTGTGTTCTTGGGAGCTCTGAGCTCCTCTGAATAGATGCCGCCTCCTGCAATGATCTCATCGCTCCTGGTGCTTGCCAGTAGACTAAACCATCAAGAGAAAAATCAAGAGAAGACAACAAAATCAAGATGGGAAATGGCTCTCTTGCCTCTGTCTTAGTCAGATGAAGGGTTGAAGCCAGTGCTTTAAACAGAAGGGAAGCATTAATGGGGAGAGAAGGACTTCAGAGAAACCAGGACAGTCTAGTGGCAAGCACAGTAGACCAGAGAATTCCTGGTTTCTGCTTCACACACTGTGAGACCATTTTGCAGAGCAGCTCTGGAAGTGGAATTTGGCAAAAGTAGGTTTGAAATCTCATTTCCTCATGGAAATTTTGGAAGTCCTTCTTTCCCTCCAGGTATTTCAGCCCACATCTGCCCTTTTTTCCCAGGAGACAGTGCTAAGTACCTTGCTCTGGAGTGGATTCTCTTTAGTTGCCCTGACACAGGATCCCAAACATCTTATGTGTAATGACTGGCACAGTGTCTGAAAATGTACAGATTCTGTTTCTTCAGTCCTGGGAATTTAGTCTTGGAAAGCTGAAGCCAGAGCTGTATGGCTGTTACATGGAAAGCTTTAGAATGATCAAAATCAGATTTTCTACAGAATAGATGATTTCCCAAAGAAAATGCAGCTAATTTATCTTTCCATGTCTTCATCCTCCAAATTTGTCTTTTTTAGATAGTATTTCTTTACAAAGTTGCAGTGTCTTTCTCTGACTTTCATAGTTTCTAAAGCAATTCCTGCTATGTGGAATAAAAATAAAACAGTATTTTCTACTGCTTAAAGAGTATCAGACAGTGGTGATGTTCCTTTGAGTTTATGAGTTCAGCATTTAATTCTTTAGAGTGAATGCTTTAGCGTGGTTAACTGCTCCATAGAAATGAAACTTGGATAAAACTTGTGGGGTTTTGCATGTTTTTCTTGGCAATTTGCAGATGTATCATCACATTGAACTGTGGGCTGTAAATCAGCTCCAAAACATGCCCCATGCTACCTGCCGGCCTCCTGCACTTGCCTGGCTGTGGTTGGCATGGTGAAGCAGAAGGCTGCTCTCTAAACTGGAACGTGTGTGGGTGTTTTCCTCCAAGAGTAGCTGCAGAATAACCACAGAACTCCAGGACTTCAAGTAAAGGCTATAGGTTAAACCCCAAGTGCAGTGTGGAATATAAAGCTGTTACTTTTTAAAGGTCTTGTTTAAGGATAAGATTCCTTAACATTTAAAGCAATAAATATTTGTAGATACTGTATGTAATATATGCTATATTAGACTATATTATCCCTGTATACCAAAGGAAATCTAATAGGGGCAGCCAACCATAATATTCCAAACTGTACATTTCCAGTCTTGCTGCAGTTCCATGGGGTGTCCTTTGCTTCTGATCCTGACCTCAGCAGGACAGGAACTTCCTTTTGTTTTGAGATTATAGTTTTTAAGTAACCCAGAAATGAAGGCAAAGAATATTATCAGTTGGAGGTGGCTTATGCATAACTTCAGTCTGCAGCTGCGTGAGAACCAAAATTAAATGGTTTATGGACAGTGAATCTGTGGAGTGAAGTCAAGGTTTAAAAATAGGTGTTTTGAGCAGAGAAGTGGTTGAGGAGATTAATATTTTAATGTGCATAATACCTCTTACTGGAAAAAGAGGATGTGGTTTACATGAAGAGTGTTTTCCCAGTTGCAGTGTATGAAATGGCTGCTGGGGATGTCTCTAGTTTATAGAGAAGAATGTCCTCCTAGTATTAATTGGGGAAATGGTGATAATTATTAATAGGGTTACAAAGAAATGGAGACTACTCATAATATATGCATGCTTGTGCTTTTCATACAGTCTGTGTGGGTGAACTGAGGGGGGGGAGTAAGAGAGAACAAGTCTATTATTAAAAAAAGAAATTCCTTTAGAAAGATTCCTATCTTAGTGCATGTGGTTTCCTCAAATTTCTTATCATTTTATCAATATGGCTTTATCTCTAAAAGCAAACTCCCCCCCCCAGGCCCTACCCTGCTCAGATGAAGAGCTGCCGCTATTGGAA